AAAAAAAAGGGGCCTGCACTCAGACACAAGAGACCTTCCCCTCACCTAAGTCTCTGCTCACAAAAAAGTAACTACAGATAGCCAAAAACACCGAGCAGCAATCAAGCCATGACTTCGCAGGACAGAGGGAGGTGCCCATCAGTCTCCTCCTCGAAGCCGGTACCTCCACCCAGGGAGAGGTGTGAAAGCAAGAAGAGGGAAGACAAGCCAGCCCAAGCTGATAAGGAAGGTTTGGGAAGCGGGAGCAGAGCAGCCAGCAAGGGTTGGCACCGCCAAACTCCGACTCAAGCCAGAAGGGATGGAGGGGCAGCACCGATGCAGCTGAGCGGGGGACCCGAGCACTTTGCATGTGTCTTGCTCCATCCTACCCTTGCCACTCCTGCCATCCCCAGCAAGGGTGGTGGAGGAGGGCATTGATGGCCCCCATGGCAGGGGGAAGGACTGGCTTCCCCCTTACAGCCGTGGGGAGGGAGAGGTGGCCCAGGTGCTGCCACCTGCCGAGGTTGGGAAGTGAAGGAAAGGAGATGTGGACCAAAAGGGGATGGTTCCAACTGTCCAGCATCCAGTTGGGCTCCATCACCACTAAGCACAAGGTGGAAAGGTCCCAGCATCTGGGACAGGGGCATAACATCCCTGGGGCACCCAGACCCAGCACCAAGCTGGTATCCCCCTCTCTGGCCTCTGAGCTCCCAGTGGAGCACATGGCAGATACACCAGCTCTTACAGGAATTTTTTCTCAAGAGGGGTGTCCTCCCCATAGCATTCCCAGCCCAGCATCATCATACCCCACTCTGCAGAAAAGCACTCTGGTAGCCCCACAGTGCCATGGGCATACCAGGGGAAAAAAAAACAACAACAAAAAACCCCACAAAAGCAAAACAAAAAAACCCCACCAAATAACCAAAACCCACAAACAAACAAACAGCAACAAAAAAAACAAACCACAAAAAACCTGCAAAATCAGATTTTGGGCATAGAGCCGAGGCTCTGCCAGAAAACCAGGAGACCTGGGAGAAGTCACCTTCTCCACCCATGGCTCCATTTCCCTGCTTGAGTGAATGGATGACTGTACAGGAAAAAGTCAAAGACCAGGGAGGAGCTTTCCCTGGGCCAGCTGTAGTCTGGGCAAACACACTGGGAAGCAGGCACATGCAACGCACTCCTTTTCCCTTGGAAAACCCTGAACCAGCCACAGCTTTGCAGAGCAAGAACCCATCTGACGCTCCACCAGCAGCACTTCCAAGCACCCAGCTAAACCACCTCCCCATGCCCACCCTGCTGGGGTGTTCCCACTGCCAGCTGACCGTAGGGGACAGGAGGGGACCACCAAGGGATGGCTCCAAGGAAGAGCAACACTCACCTCTGGCCGATCTCTGTGGGTGTTGACGGCTTCGATGTTCAGCGAGATGGATTCCACCCGGCAGCCTGCGGAGGGGAGCACAAGGAGACAGAGAGGCCATCAGCAAACCCAGCAGGCACAGGGTGTTGCTCCCAGAGGCAGCCTGGATTCAGGAGCAGGTACAAGCCAACCCCCTCCACAAGTTTAGCAGGAAGGTCCCACTTACCGTAGGCTACCGGGGTCAGCTTCAACACCGTGTGAAGGGGACATTTCAGGTAGGGCATTTCATCTGCAGAGACAGCAAAGCAGGAGGGTTATCTTATCCCACCCCCTCTCCAAAAGCATCTTGATCAACAGCCAAGGCCACCCCACACCTAACAGATGCACGCTCTAGACCCACATCAACCTGAATGCATCTCCATAGAGCCGCATCCATCATCCCTCCTCCAGCAGGGTCCATCCTCTTCCCACACACAGGGAGCTCACCTGCACTCTTGTCCAGGAAGTATGCCAGGAGACAGCGCATGACAGCCTGGTGACAGATCACAAGGACGTTCTCTTGCCTCTCCAGCTCCATGATGACTGGCTCCAGGCGCTGCACCAGATCCTGGTAGGACTGGGACAAAAGATGGGAAGGAAGATGAGGCACAGAATCAAAGAAACAAGCACCTCAGAAGCAGCAATGCTCCTTGTCTTGTTACATCTGCTGGTTTCATGCCTCAGACTAAACTAACATAATTACTGCTAAAAACAAGTAAATTCTCATCTTCAGGCTAGTCTAGAACACAGATACTTCTTCCATCAGAGAAGAAGTCATTCCCATTTCAGTGCATCACATCGCAGTCCTGGAATGTTTATTAAGGTAAGTAACAGGGGCTCTCAGGACAGCATCCCTCCATCGTCTTGAAATTTGATTTTTCTACAGGATTTTTAAGTTATGAAAAGTCTGGAGCAACCTGAGAAACCCCAGGGTTTTGAAGGTCTTCATAAAGAACCATGACAGGCAGCCAGAATGAGCTCCAGACACCCAGAGGCAGTGTCTGACATCTCCACACGTTCCTGTTAGATACACTGTCATGAGGATGTTTCCAAAGATTCTTTTTTCCCCCAAATGTCTATGTCTATTTTTCCCAAATGACTTTCAATTTGGGGATAAATAGCTCAATTCACAGCCTAAATTATCATCCAGAGCTGATGTAAATTACCACCTCATTGTGTCACACGATGAAAGCAGATTGCCAGGAACAGAGCTATTACCATCAACCCTTAGGGAATGATACTGAGAGCAGGGTGAAAATTACTTTTTTTGGAAATGACAGAAAAGGAAATTGGGGCAGCACAACACTTTGAGCAGATAAAATGATGGAGGTTGGACTAGAAACCTCCAGAGTCCCTTTCCAATAATCTGCTACAAAGTCAGTGGGACTGTTTGTTAAGTGATACATTTCTCAGTGATATCTTCATATACCAATGATTTCACAAGAGCTCAGTGCAGAGGTGAACATAAGCCCTGACCTTTCTCTATTCTAGTTCCTTGGAGCGCTCGAAGCTCCTGTGTAGAAGACAGAATGAAGACAAAAATGCCACATTTAGAGCAAAAGTCACGTCTCTGAAGGTCTCCCTGCAGACCTACCTCCCCTGAAGGGTAACGGTAGTAATATTTATCCTGATCACGTAAAGCGAATTCCTCTGGATGTTGCTCCCTGATTTCTTCATACGTCATTTCTTCACACACACCCTGCCAGAACAGGACATCCATGGTTACTGGACCTACTCAGGTCAAAAAGCATCAGCACAGCCAACATGCAAAGCCTTCTCCAAAGCAATTGTCTGTAACCCTGTGAGTGTTCAGCCACAGAGCAGTTCCAAGCAAAAGTCATTTTAATCCACCAAGCTGGACGGGGCTTGGAGCAACCTGGTCTAGCGGAAGATGTCCCTGCCCGTAGCAGGGAGTTGGAACAGATACTGTTTCAGGTCCCTTCCAACCCAAACCATTCTATAATTCAAGACAACATCTTGAAGACTCCGCAGAAGGTACAACTAAAGTCAGGAAGCCAAAAGGTGAGTCCTGCAGAGGTACCACCCTTTCCCACAGCAGGAAACTCTCTCCATGGAAACTGAGATTTAGGCAGAAGTGAAAAGTCAGGTGCTGTTGCTCTTTCTCATCAAGCAACAACCAGCCTGATCCAGCTATTCCTGCTGCAATCAAAGATACTCACAGCATCGATTTCATTGAGTGCCTTCCACTGCTCGTAGGGCAGCTGCAGAGCTTCTGCTGTTTGGATTGTCCTTTTTAGTTGGCTGGTCCAGACTTTGAGGTCCTTCAGGTTCTGCTCTTCTACAAATTTGTTCAGTGCCAGCGCAAACTGTGAGACATAAAAAAAACCCAGGTTGATTCCTGGTCCATAGCTTACCAGCAGGTAAGCATCCCCAAGAAGGGATGCGAGAACAGACAGAAAGCAGAGGAGAAAGAGGCAACCTATTGTCTTCAAGGAACATCAGCACCCAGGAAACAGCACCATGACCTGGGCTTTCCCACAGGGCTATGGAAAATCCCTGGCCATCCTTAACCACAGCTCTGCTTATTTGCTTTCTGCAGCCCAATCTCTGTTGGCTAGACTACAAGTAACAACGATGGCTGGGAAGTCTTGTTTTGAGGCCGTGCCCAAACTTATCCAGCCCTATAGATGGATCCTGAGCAACCCAGCTGTCATCAAACACACACTTCATCCAACACGTGGCATCTTACTAGAGCCAAATCCCTCCTAGAAGCCACAGCCCTTTCTCCCTCACCTTCTTGCCCCTGTTGGAGAGGCCAGAGTCCCCTCCAATCTTGCCCATGAGGTTGAACTCGCTCTCTCCGTGCCGACAGAGATAAATGGTGCGGGGCTGGACATGGATGTTCATCAGGTAGTAAACAATCCTGCTCTGGATGTGATCCTGAACCCTGTTGACCAGGAACCGCCGGCCAACGTCGATGACTTTGATGAGAGAAAGTTCCCTAGGGAAAGAAAGAAACATCATTCTCATGAACCAGCCTTGTGACTTATCTCCCTCGGCATAATCACCCAGCTAAAAGGATTTCCTGCAGGCTATTTTCAACAGGAAGCCAACAGGTAACGGGGATTCATGGAGAGCTGAATAGCACCAGTGTAATCGCCATTCCTCCTTGCAGCAGCAAAGAGGATTAAACAGGACTAACAGGGAACAGGACAGGGATCAGCAGGAGTGGAATAATCCGTGCAGAGCACACAGACGTGCTTGTGAGCAGTGAAAAGGCTGGGAGGTGCCTGCAGAGTCATACAGGACAGCAAAGGTCTTCCCAGGGCACACAACTAGGCAGAAGCCACAGGGCTTGCTCAATCCTGTGGCCTGAGACAACCAATCCTTTCCTTTAAGAGGGACAATGACAAAAGCACCTCAACCGCTCAAACTCAAGTGTTTTTCCAAACCCTTTGTATTTAGACCTGCAGGACAGGGTTGAAAACAGCATATCCGAGCCCAGAAGAGCCTGGAAAGTCTCAGTGCCCGACTCCCTGGCACAGGGCTGGGGAAAAACAGCACTTTCAAGGAAAAAGCCTGGTTTCCAGGTGAGGCTTGGCCATACATTACTCTTGCACAGTCAGGTATTTGAAGACTAAATGAAATACAGCTCCATCCTTCATTGCTCCTCTCCTGGGAGCAGGAAGGTGTTAAAGTCAGCTCAGAAGTCAGCAGAGTCTCTTACCTGTCGTAGTCATCAGGGTCGAGTGGCTGGTAACTGGCTTGGTAACAATTTATCCTCTTCATGAAGTCCTCCATGGCATCAGTGGAGTTACAGTCCCGGTAATCTGGGCTGGACAATTTGACTTCCTGTGGAAAAAAAACACACCACAGGGAGAGGTCAGGAAGGTCTCCCACTCAGGCAATGCTAATCTCGAATTTCAAAGTCCTGCCAGCATCCAGAAAACAGCTGAGACACTTTACAGTCATTTTGTATCACAGGGCACAAGAGAACCAAGTTAGACCCCAAAATAAGCATAAAGTAAGACAATCTGGTATAAGCCATTGCATGGTTAATATAGATGTGCATCTGTCCACTCCCACTCTCCCAGGAGTTGGGGTAGCACCTCACCACCCAACACAGTGGGGAAAACTGAGCTTCCTTGTGGTTAAAGAAAAGCATCAGGTTTAAATTCAAGCTGAAAATGGAAAGTGCATGAGCTTAGACTAGATGTTTATCCCAGGTCAACAAAAGGATATTAGCATAACAACATTCAAACCCTTTCTGTGCATTAGTTGCTGCAATTTACTGGGCTGAAAAATACTACTACAGGCCATTTTTCCCCCTGAACTAATCTAACAGGCTATTTTCCCTGAAGATTTGGGTTTGAACAGCAGCATTACACATTAGTAACTTCACAGGCAATCCTGAAACGAGCAGGATAACACAACAGAGTGACACATGTGGCAGCATCCCAGGCCCGTGGCGTATTTTCCACACTGATCCTGGCACTATGAGCACCATTCATCTGCAGCACCCCGTGGAGCAAAATCCCACATTCATTTTCTCCCCCTTCAAGCATTAGTTTCCAAATAAAAGGATTAAAATCCTCCAAAAAAATAAAAATCCAGCTCAAAAAAAAAAAAAAAAAAAAAAAAAAAAAAAAAAAAAAAAAAAAAAAAAAAAAAAAAAAAAAAAAAAAAAAAAAAAAAAAAAAAGAGATGCAGCAAACTGAGTATTTTATTAGTGTCATGGAAAAGGCTGTGTGCAACCTCCCAAGACTCATTTTTTCCCCTTTTTAACAAGGGTTATGTTCCCCCTTTTCCAGTCAGGGAGAATATTTCACTGGATGGCCGTGACTTTTTAAATATGATGGATAGTGGCTTCCCCACTTCATCCATCAGTTCCCTCAGGACCCACAGATGCATCACATCAGATCCCAAGGACTTGTAGACCTTCAGGTTCCTTAGATGGTTTCAAACCTGATCTTCTACTGTAGGTGACTCTTCATTCTCTCAGTCCTTGCCTTTGCCTCCTACAACTCCATCAGTGGGCTGGAGCACTTGGTGAAAACTTGGGCAAAAAGCCACAGCCTTCTCCATATCCCCAGTATCCAGGCCTCCTATTCCTTCTAGAGAGGGCTCACACTTTCCTAGTCTTCCTTTTATCATCAAATGTATCCATAGAAGCTTTTCTTTTTGCCCCCAACAACCCTGTCCAGATTTAATTCTGTCAGGGCTTTATTGTTCCTAACCTGATCCCTGGCTACTCAAACAATCTCTGCCTTCCTCTCAGGCTGCCTGTACTTGCTTCCATCCTCTGGGGACTTCCTTTTTGTGTTTGTCTAGGAGCTCATTGCAGGCCTCCTGATGTTTTTGATTACTTCTTTATTGAGAACGTGTCACACCTGAGCTTGGTGAAGATGATCCTCAAATATTAACCAGTTTTCTTGGGCCCCTCTTCCCTCCAGAGCTTTATCCCATGGTACTCCACCAAGCACATTCCTGAAGAGGCCAAAGTCTGCTCTCCTGAGGTCTCATTTCATGGTCACTGCAGCACAGTGCAACACAGCACATTCTCCTTCTTGGCTCCTCTCTCTTGGAGAAGGAAATCATCATCAACACACTCCAGGAACTTCCTGGATTGCCTGTGCCATGCTGTGCTGTCCTTCCTGCAGATACCAGGGTGGTTGCAGCAAGCCATGAGGACACAAGGTTGTGAATGTGATGCCATTCCCACCTGTCTATGGAGGGAAAACAAAAGCAAGACACTTCCACACTTACCATAACATTGGTGGCAACCACAGTGGGATCATTGCAGACAGATTCAATGAAGAACACCTGTGAAGCAAAGCAAACCTCAATTGAAACCCAACAACAAGGCTTTTAACACTCAACCAGCTCCTTGCCCAACCCAACCTCCTCCCTGCTCTGCCCTACTCCCATAGTTTCCTTCTCCAGGACTTGTTATGAGGGAAGAGTTTCACATTTTTCATCAAACCCAGCAGTGAAATGTCCCTTACGCAGGAGCATCGTGAGGACAACATGTTAGTGAAGGAAGATACACCAAGAGCATACTAAGGTGGACTATGCAATTCAGGTACCAGCCCCACGGTACCAACCTTAAATCCATTTTCTTTGGCAAAGTTTAGGATCATCCCTCTCCTCTCCCGCGTGGTATTGGTGGCATCAAAAACCTTTAAAAGCAAAGACTTCAGTTAGCACCACAAGTGCCCTTGGTTTCCCACTGAGCCCCTCCTCAGAGAAGGAACTGCAGAGCAAACTGCACAGGGCACAGGACATTCAGGAGTGGGAGGACATGCCAAAATCCCACGGGGTGCATCTCCTTTCTTACCGCAATCTGCCCAGCCTCCTCCGTCAGGTACAGCTTGACATCCCTCAAGGCGGCCATAGCACACTGCCTGCAAAAGAGGACATGTGTGGTCCTGATGTCCTCTGGATGTGTTGGTGACCCCTGAAGCTACCAAGCCCACACAGCTTAATTTTTTGAGCTCCTGGCACCCAAGTCAGGTCTCTTTGGAGCAGGCAGGGAGAACTCGAAAGTAGAGCCCAGCTTTTCCGCTCATCACCCCCAAACAAACTGGGCAACTGGGCTCCAGCCATGGGCTTCACCACCTGTTTGGGACCTGACTGGTAGGATGGAGGTAGTGCCCACACTTACTTCCTGACTTTCATGGCCTCCTCGTTGTCAGGACGGAAGAAGTCGTAGGAGCTGTAATGCTTCACAGCCTCACGGCGATATTCCCCCACGTTGAAAACTATTTGGGAAAGACAAAAAAACCATCAAAACTAGGAGCTCAACTCAGCTCTGCAGTTTCTGCAATTAAAGCAAGCAAAGTGCTACAAAATTGCATCCTTAGAGCAAAAGGCTCAGGGACATCCCTTGGTCTCGAAGTAAAGGAGAAGCCATGCTGCAGCAGAAATGATGGGAAAACATGGATATTTTGCCCACTGTATCTTGGAAAGCTCTCCCACTACCTGCCACTTCCCAAGGCACTGAGCTCCTATGGCAACTCCTGAGGACCAGACCTCGTGCTTTCCCCCTGGAAGCCAGTGAATGCCTCACCTTTTGTAGGGACACCAATCCAGTTGAGGTAGCGCGTCAGCTTCTTGGAGATGTAGGTCTTCCCACGGGCTGGGAGGCCAACCATCACTATCACAGTGGGGGAATTGGCAAGCTGTGGCCCACAGGCTATGAGGAGAAAGAACATGTGAATCCTTCAACCCTGCAAGGCACTTGCTCTTCACTCAGCCTTCCCCCAGATCCTTCAGCAGCTGGAGAAAATCCAAAACCTGAGTTCTTTGTGCACCATCACCTCTGTACTATCTCCTGTACATCCCTCCCGTGAGTTTGGACAACCAGGACCCAGAGCAGGGGGGCATGGTGGATGGCTCCATGGCTGCCCACTGGTGAGACATAGCTGCCCCAGCTAAGCCATGCTGACCCAAATTCACCCTGGTGTCACCCAAAACAGGGGACAACAGTCACAGCCCGAAAGAACATCCTGATGGCTGCAAAGTAGGCAAGGAACCAGCAGCTGGCCCAGGCTCCCTGGAGAGTCTCCATGCCTCA